TTTTAATACCCTCTCTGCGAGGGTATGCATACCAAACTTTGTCTTTTCATTAATGAATTTAAGAGCGACCCCCGTTTGGCTGCAGCTGTCCGCTTTGGAGTCACCTTCGACTTGGTTAAGTGCCGCATCGTTTATCCCAAGCTGTGGCAATTGGCCAGATACAACGCCTTTTGCCTTGCTGACCAATTGAAGTTCTTTTTGGCCAACTTGTTGCGCAATTGGGCAACAACAAAGCACGTAGTTAAAGCAGTTGTTGCTGTTGTTGTTGGCCATGCATGTTAACTTTAAAGTCTGAGATTATTTGACAGCTTCAATGAGCACCGTTTGCCGTTTCAATGCAAATTGCAGAATTGGCTTCATAATTAAGTAGTTTGCCAGCCGCCTGAAAATCTCAACACACGCACAGACCAATTTGTGCAACAAAAACAACAACAACAGCAGCTGCCACGCCCCTTGTTAAAGCTCGTAAATTAAATTGGCGAACCACCCCGCCGGAATTTCTCGGGTTGTTGTTGTTGTTGTCTGTCACCGAAATGTATGCAAATTGTTTTCAACGCATTTTTCATGCACACATCGTCATGTGATTTATGAGCTCTACAAGTCGCACACGTCCTGAGTCTAGCCGCCGATTATTGCCTTTTAATTGAATTTTGCGTGCACGAGTGGGTGCCCCACCGCCCTACGCCCATTCCCCTCCCCGCTTTTGAGTCCGATTCAACCAGTGCGACTTTCACTTTTTTTTGTTATTGTTGCTGTCTTCTAATTGCGATTGAGTGATACGTGTGAATATCGAGCAAATCGTTGACTCGGAATTACTCACCCTGAACTTGAAGTTACCTTTTGTTGTGCTCAACATACTCATTATAATATAAAGCGCACACCTGTGGAAGGTGCGCGAAGCAGACACATGCGGCACCATAATATGATGTGGTAAAGTTGATTTCGTCTGCTCCCACCCCGACAATTGCTTCTACGAATAGTGTGTGTACACACTGAGAGAAAAGACATGTTATTTCTCTGTAAGCTAAACACAATATTAAAAAAATAAACATTCAAAGAAATTTCATAACTGTGAAATTACAATTGAATATCAATACCTGAGTCAATCTCAAAAATAGTTTATGTGCTTCAATTTAAAGCAGTCACTTGTTTCGCTCAGTGTAGCCTTTGTAATAGCAGCAGAGCAAACAAATGCAAAGACAGAAAAAAAATGAAATAAGAACACAAACGGCTATAAAAAGTCAATTAGACTTAATGATAGCTTCGGCTAAACTACACATTAAATTCGTGTAGTACGCTGATTGAGTCAAGCCGCAGAAATCGCCGGATCCGGTTTGGCAGGCGGGGGGAAGTTGGGTGGCTTGAAACTTCTGTAATCAAGGAAGTTGGCAAGACAAAAACATGGCCAACAAGCTGGCCGGCAACAGTTTGTTTGGCAAGCGGCGGTAAAAAGTCGACGTTTGCGTTGCGTTTTGTGTAATTCGGCCATTAAAATTAATAAGACAATCGACGTGACGCCCATCGAAGCGAGCACAGTTCCAGAATTGACCAAAAGCCCAATTCCATTAACATCGCAGGTGGTTATTAAATAGACGCCTAGACCTTATTACGCGGCGTATGAGTGATTTTTAATGCCAGCTAAGATATGGCTAAGACCGGCTAATAGATAGACATGTCCGCCAAATGTAATCGCATTTTCCAGCGTATCTAACTGCCAACAACGGCTCAGCACGACAACACCAACAGCCAACAGCCAACAGTTAACAGTCGACGGAATTGGCCGCGGCCCAAAACTTGGCTATTTCCAACGCTAATTAAGCTGCATGTTGCATGGCCCCCTACCCCTTCCTCCATTCCTACCGCTAACTGCTGCTGCTGCTTGCAATTCCCAGCGGGCAGCTGCTCGTTGTCAATTTCTATTAATTAAACCATTTAGTATCCGAGCACTTCACCTGTCCATCCATCAGTATACGTTGCCCGCAGTCTATCAACAGAATTTTGATTATGTCAGCGCAGTTGAGTCTACCAGGTAATTCAATTACAGAGAATATCTTTTCAATGCAAGTGTCTTAGCTATGAATGTATATATACAAAAATGTATATGAGCAAAAAAATCTCTTAGGTAGTTGATAAAGTTAAATAAAATCGATCCATAACTCAAAATCGGAAGTATTTACCCAAAATATTTGAAAAAAAAATGAACCAAAAAAATTTTGATTTTTGATTGAATTGTCTTGTTTCTTGTGACATTTTTATTTTATTATTTATTTGATTGAATTCCTATTAAAAGTAGGGAACCGTACGAATTTAAAACAGTATAACGTTTCAAAATCAGACGACATTTACCCGAAATATTAATAAAAATCATCAAAAAACTTTTTATTTTCAAGCTGACCCCGATTTAGACAAAAAACGTGATGTAACCCCTTGCTTTTTTGTCGATTTTAATCAAAATTTATATTTTCATTTCGAGAACGCCAATCGATAGTATTTATCTTTACGAGTCAAATATGCAATATCTTTCCAGAATCGGACATTATTTGGCTGAGATATGCCAAAAAATCAACAAAAAAGGTTGAATTTACAAACGAATCGTTTTTTGGTCAACAACTTTAATTAAGAAATCGTCATTTAATTTCTTTGAATAGCAATTGATAGAAGGGGTTCGAACGAATTCAAAAAGGTATATTATTTCAAAATCTGACGATATTTACCCGAGATATTAAAAAAAAAAACCTCAAAAAGTTTTTGTTTTCGAACCGATTCCGATTTTGAGAAAAAACGTGATGGTACCCCTTGCTTTTTTGGTCGATTTTGGTCAAAATTTAGATTTTCAATTTTTGAACGCCAATCGATAGTACTGATCAATATGAATCAAAAATGGTATTAAATAACAAAATCGGACATTATTTGGCCGAGATATGCCAAAAAATCAACAAAAAAGGTTGACCTTACAAAAAAATCGTTTTTTGGTCAACAAATTTATTCAATCCATCGATTTTCATATAAAATTTTAGTTATCTATGGAAATTTTGGTTATCTATGGAAATGGTATATGTTTTCGGTCTATCTCTGTAGCTTTCTTTTTGGTTTTGTTCTATTGAGCATTCGTCCATACAGATCGCCTTTTAGTTGTGAAAATAAAAAACCATTAATGGATGTTGGAATTGTGCATCGGATAATTGGAAGTAAAATTCTCCTTTTCTGTTTAATCCAATTCTTAAGAATTCAGCTATTAAATAAGCTAATTAACATATACATTATACCCTTTCAGGCTCCACCGAGTCTAGCAGCTGCTAATAAAAACATGCTCATATTGAGTGCTGAGGTGAAACTAACAGAGTGTTAAATTATGAGTGATTTAAGCGACCGAAAAAACCGGCGCACTGAAAATTAGCAAGCGATCATAATTCGAGTGGGAACGAGATGCGCCGCATTGCCAGGCATACACACCCACACAAACACGTGTGTGCGCAGAGATGAGCCAAAGCCAGAGATTAGCAGTCAGATGTTCGTGTGTGTGTTCGCTGTCATTTTTCGTCTTACGCTCACGCGCTCACGATTCTTTTCGGTGCCGATCGCTGATTGGTCCAATTAATAACTGCTGGCATGCTGATGTGCTCTGAGTGCTCTTCTTTCTGAGCGCCGCTTTGGTGGATCTGCCCAACTTTGTTCTGAGTCAGTGTGGCCCTTTTCGTCAGCAGGGCATGTTGTTGTGCTGCGAGCGGTGCTCTATCGAGCCTGGTATTATTTTGTAGATCTGATGCAGAAGTAGAAAAGGCTCCAGCAGGCAAATGCACACACGTTCCTGCATACATACATACATATGTTTGGGTAAGTGTTTTTTGCAATTGATATGTGTACATGCTTATGAGATATCTCCGCCGACTTTTGTTCACACTTTTGTTCAAAGGGCTGCAGTCGAGTAAAGTTGTTTTAAAAGAATGATAAGTGTTAATTCTCAAGTAAATTTCCTCCGTATCACTAATATATATACGTTTTGTACGGGTCGGAGGTATTAATAATCGATTTTATAGACTTTCACGTCCAAATGCTATTTTGTAATTGTCTTCTTACATCGCAATATAAGAATATAATGCACAAGCATTAACACGCAAAAAGTTCGTGGGAGCGCGATATTCATCGCGATATTCATCATAAGAAGATAATGCAGGCGCATACACATACATATATGTGTACATACTTGGCGATTCCCTTTGCATACATACATACATATGTGCGGGTGTGTGTTCTCGCAATTGATATCTACTTATGCTTGCTTGTGTATGCTTTCCTATGCGTCCTTATCTACCTGTGAGTTGCTGTGCGCCGACTTTTGTCCACTTTGCGTCTGCGCGACATGATTAAGTCCAGCAGCAGTCAAGTTATAACAAAATTATAAGTGAAAATTCTCAAGTACTATATGTTTCTTTGATGGACTATTAAGAGAACGGAAGTAACAAATCGTACTCTAAAGTTTGACAAAAGTGAAAAAATTCGAGAGAGCGCAATGAATAAGAATGTAATGCAAATATACACATACACATATGTATGTACACATTTGGCTATTCTCTCTCCTTCTCCATATGTTTGGGTGTGTGTTTTTGCAATTCATGCCAACTCATGCTTGCTTGTGCGTGATCTACCTTTGAGCTCACTCGAGTTTGTGAGTTTGCTCGCTCAGTTTTCTGTGCGCCGGCTTTGATCCGTGGTTGAGTGAAACTCTTTGATAATGTTATGCTGAAAAATTCTCGGGTTAATATCGTCCGTGTCGGGAATATCAATTGACATGTGATAAAATCGCCTTATGAGGTTTGAACATTAAAGTGATACCAAAATTCTCGTCGGTTCTGAAATCAGAGTTTTTTATAGTACCATGTCGATTTTGAAGACTTTCACGTATTCCAAAAGGTATATCCTTCCGAAGTTGGACCTCATTTAAACGATATTAAAAGCACGCAAAATACTAATTCATTTTTTATTTTGAATTTTGCAGCTAAATCTGCTATGGACAAGAAAACATTCAATAACGTTGGTACCTGGACGACCTTTGTTGTTTCATGCCATGGATATACCTTAAACAAAATCATATTTAAATCTGCGTCAATTCTCAAATCAATTTAAGTGCTCACGAATCTTTAAGGGTATGTCTCTCCAATAATCTTACAAAACACAAATTCATTAATTATTTTCAACTTTGCAGCTAAATCTGCCAGGAACGAAGAAGAAGAAAATATTCAATAACGTTGGTACCTAGATGAACAATCGTGTTCTAAATTTTGACCAAAGGAGCAATGGTTATATTAAAACTATTACCAAACTGGGTCGATTCTCATGTCAACATTTTCTATATTTCTATCTATTTTAAAGAGTCACACATCCTTAAGGGTATGTCTTTCCACAGTCGGACGTAATTTAACCGTAGTGTTTTAGTTTACAGAAACTAATATATTTTTCATTGTATATTTTTTCAGCCTAACCTGTCAACATTCATGGACAACATACATTTAACAAATTTACGCTCATCTACTTCATCTACTCGGGGCCCAGTGTGCTGCTGTACTTTCTGGTCGGCTTTGTGATCGATAGCCTGTACGAATTGCTCGTGGGTCAGCTAATCTTTGCCAGCAGCGCCATTATAGACACCTTCAGGCTAATGGTACTCGGCCGCTTCATCTTTGGCATTGGCGCCAATTGCTGGCCGTTGCCCAAGGAAGCTACGCGGCGCGACATAACTTCGCCGCTGATCTGCGGATGGACATCGACAACATTTAGCCAGCAAAGAATGGCTATTTATGGTACCTAGTTGACCTATATATCCTTGGTTATTCCATGCTATGGATATAGTCCTAGAGAACCTAAAGGACCAAGTTCTTGCGAAATGCGTAGGAACAGGGTCCAAAAATATGTATGCTTTTCTTTTACAGCCGCCCCCAGCAACAGACCCGCCTTCAGGATGGTTTCTAGTTGACTATCATATCCTTGGTTATGCCATACCATCGATATAGTCCTTGCGAACCTAGAGGACCAGAATCCTTCAAACTGCATGCATGGTTTTTCTTTCAGGAGCCCTTTTACATTAGCAGCAGCTGCAACAGTTGCTCAACAGCCGGCTTACAGCGCTCATTTTACAGAAACTGCTATTAACAGCGCTCATTTTAATTGAGTTACATTTGTGCCCCGTAATGCTATGCAATGAAAATTTTTATTCAAACCACTCGGCGACCTTCTGGGCATTTCTGTTCGCCTGGTATTTGAGCGGAATTTTAGGGGAAATTTGGGGAGTAGCTGCCGACCAAGGCACCCCGTGAGGGTATGCAATGATTTTTTTCGGCCGCAAAAATATTTTGCATCGACCTTCTGGGCATTTCTGTTCGCCTGGTATTTTTCGGAAATTTTAGCTAAAATTTGGGACCCAGCCGGCCGTTAGGGCGCCCCTTTTGGGTATGCAATGAAATTTTTTCGGCAGCTAAAAATCTTTTTTGTCGACCTTCTGGGCATTTCTGTTCGCCTGGTATTTTGGCAGATTTTATGAAAAATCTCGGCAGCCAGCGGTTACCAACAGACGCCCCCTACGGGTATGCAATAGGTTTCTAAAGGCCGTTGATTTTTGAATTTTTAAATAAAAAAACAAGAATTTCGCTTTTATCGCTTTATTTATGTTTCAATTTATAGAAGTGTTATTTTTTATGATAATTTTCTTAATTATTTTTCGTAAAATTATACAACGGAGCTTAAATCATAATTTAAGCCTATTTAAACTTAAAATAACTATATCTGGCTTATTTTAAGTCCGATCCTGAAAAAATCTCCTGGCGGAGATATGTCGTTTTGAAACGACATATCTCCGCGAGGAAATGTCGTTTTGAAACGACATATCTCCGCGGGGAGATATGTCGTTTTGAAGCGACATAGCTCCGCGGGGAGATATGTCGTTTTGAAGCGACATAGCTCCGCGGGGAGATATGTCGTTTTGAAACGACATATCTCCGCGAGGAAATTTCGTTTTGAAACGACATATCTCCGCGGGGAGATAAATAATTGATTTATTTATGTTTTAAATATACAAAATTGTTGTTTTTATGCCAATTTTCTTAATTATTTTTCTAAAAATTATACAAATCGACAATAAATTATAATTTTAGCTTGTTGAAACATAAAATAACTATATCTGGCTTTATTTAAGTCCGATCCTGGAAAAATCAGTTTTGTCAGTCGTGGAGGTCCTTAGAGATCCTTTTAATCCTTAATTTGGCAATCTGAAATGATAAAAACACATTTTAATTAAAAATATAGATAACTATATAAAAGTGGAAAATAGGCCATAACTCGGGCATGTCCTTGCAGATTTTCAGGACATGGACATGGTGCGTTAGGATCCTATAGACCCCCTGCATCGATCTGCATCAAAAAAATATGGGGTCATCTAAGAATCATATGACTCGAAATTGGACTTGTAAAATTTCAGCCCCGGGGCGCATGGAAATTACCCGAAAACACAAATCCTTGAATATCTCTAAAACTACAAGGACGATCTTAATGAAATTTGGCCAGGTGGTAGTCCTAGCCAGCACAATTATTTTGACACATGACTCGCCAGGATACGCAAGGATATGCTTGAGTTATGGCTTATTATCTTCAACCAAAATTGTCCTTAAAACATTTTTGTCTGAAGGACTTTCGTCCTTTGGGTTGTAAATTCTCTAATGGGAAGGCTAGGACTATCTACTGGCCAAAGGACATCCCGATAGTCCTTCAAATGGCCAAGTTAGCCCGGAATTTTTCGATTTTGGCCAATTTTGCGACTTACCCCCTAGGATAAATTTCGATGAAATTTTTTGTCGAATCCTGGAAATCCTTGAATGCCAATCGATAGTCCTGCTCCCCACGAGTTCAAAACGATATATCCTTCCGATATCCTTAAGGATTTGGCTGAGCTATGGCTAATTAAAAAATGTCCTTTTTAGAAAATAGGCCATATCTTGGAAACGGCAAGGACGATTCTGTTGTCCTTTGGACATTTTGTGGTACTTGTCCATACGATTTGTTTGCCACAGGACTTGTCAGGATCTGCAAGGATACGGTGGAGTTAGGGCTTCGTTAAATTACGAAAGAATCGTTCTTATATCTATGCTGTCTGAAGGACTTTCGTCCTTTTTATTATATATTCTACTGAATTGGGAGGATGAGTACTAACGGTTGGCAGATGGACATCATGAACGGCAAGGATATGATCGATCTGTAGCATTTTATCTCCACAGGCAAAAATCGGCAGATAATCGTTCTAACTGTTAAAAATGGCATAAAATTCAAATATCGTTTATTTTATTGGCTCAGATATTAAAAAAAAGTCATCAAAAAAGATTGAAAAAATTCCAGAATGGGTTTCTTGTCGAAAAACTTCAGGTAAACTCCCAATATTTGCTTCAATTGATTATCGATTGGTGAGAGGGATCCGTAGGAACATAATAAGTTATTACATATCAAAATCTGTGACGATTTTAACCAAGTTATTAAAAAAATCGTCAAAAAATGTTGCTTTTCAAACCAACCCCGATTTTGAGAAAAAAAAAACTTGATTTGCTTGCAAATTTAGAAATCGATTTTTCGATCGATAGTACTAATCCGTTTGAGTCAAAAAGGGTATGGTCGAGATACTCCAATACATCATCAGAAATGTTTCACATTTCAAACGAATTGGTTTACGTTAATTTCAATTCAATGTGGCGAGCAAGAGCAAAGCGCACATTTTAGCCATGTGGCCTTTGAAGAGTTAAGACCCAAAACCATGTTAAGGTAAGCTTCACAGAGCTTTAAAGTAAAGCTTAATATACGACATGCCCAAAAGTATGCCACATTTTATGCTGCATTGAAAAAGATGCATAAATTAAAACGGTCTAAATCGATTGTGTTTTAAGCATCGCAAAATGCAATTGGGTCAAATAGAAATATATTTGTAGTGCCCAATTAAATGACAATCTATAAAAAATGCACCCACAGCTTCAAAAACACAAAAGATTTCCTGCTCAGTCCGCATAGGGAAATTGTTATGATAAGTGAGCCAAAGAAACGAATACGAATAGGAAAACGAATATGAATACAACAAGAACTGGCCACAACTGCTGCACTAATTAAAAAATTGAGTGGCTGTCAGCGCGCTGTGGTTATGGCTTTTTTGGTGTCTTGATTTCAGCATTTGCGTGTATCTAATTGAATTAGACCCAAAGGTCAGGCCAAATGGGCTGGGAATTGGAGCTGACCAAAAAAATAAATAAAAATAAACCGGCTACAGTAGGCGACATATGTGGTAACAAATAGAGCTGGCAGCGTGACACGAGGTGCTACCAAATATGAATTCATTTGAGTTAGCATAAATCCACATGACTTGCCAATTGACCAGTATGCTAAGGTAATATTTTAATAAATTTACAATTGTGTAATGTCACAAAACCCTAAACTTGAAGCTAAAGAATTTTCTATATATTTTCTTAATTTAAAAACAAACCAAAATCTGAACGCGTTTAATTTATGATTGGGGGTTGATTGTAAGGAATGAAGGTTCAAACCAAACAGCAACTATTTATGACACTATCGTTAAAGTTTAGCATCGCTCGTTTTATTAATTTTCGTGCCGTATCGTATTACTTGACACGTGCACAGCTCTAGCAAAAAGTAAAGCACAGAGCTGCGTAGAATTGCGTTGGCGGCAGCCAAAAATAGCAGCCAGGAAAAAAGTCATTGTGCCGTGGAATATTAGAAGAGGGAAATACGACTACACATTTTGTCGGCATTATATGCTAATGCGATATTTGCTGACTTCATTGTGGAACGTTCAGCTTCTGGTTAACTGGTAACTGGAGCGTGGTGCAGCAGTGGCTGCGGCTCCTTGTATGGCATCGGGCCATGGTAATTGGGAGGCCGAGCCAAGAGGCGGCACAATTGGCAAGTCGAGTCGCAGACCAGCAGCCAGGCACAGGCCCAGGCCAAGCTATTAGAAATGCTGTTGCGGCTGATTTATGGCTGGAATGGGGCCATAGCTTAGTGTTGGGTGTGGGTGGGTCTGGCTGGAGACAGGAACCAGCATAACTTCAAGCAGCAGCAGCAGCAGCAGCAGCAGCAAAAAAAGACTATGAAATTTGCTTAAGATCTTGGCCATGTTTTGACTGGCTGCCTTGACTGAACCACTTAGTCGCTCAGTTACGCCCAAATGGGTCACTAATGAGGCGTCGAGCTTGGGAAAATCTTGATGGCTCGATTGTCTGTGCCAATTCTAACGTAAAGAAACCACCGCCGCTTTGGCTATAAAATTGTGGCGCTTCTTCAGCTGGAGCCACAGTTCGACAAACAGCGCTCTTCAGTGTTCACCAAAAAAGAAAAGTGTTTTCGAGATGTTCAAAATTGTGAGATGCTCAAATACTATGGATACCCCCGTTTGGATAACTAACACGTGAATTCTCTTGCAGCTATTCGTGTTGTGCGCGGCTTGGTTGGCTCTCAGCCAGGCACGTCCTAGCTACCTGCCCAGCTATGAGACAATTGAGTATGCGCCCACTGTGCTGGGCTGCCCGCCGCCGTCTCCCATCAGAGCTCGACGGTGGTGCACGAGAAGCGTCCCTACTTGCGTCCCATCTACGAACATCCACTTAAGACGTACCACCATCCAACCACATACACCTATGCCAGCAGCCCGCTGAGCTACGGCAGCGACTGGTACGAGCCCGGCTGGAATACAGCTGCGCTCAGCTATCCCAGCATCTACCTCAAGTAAAGCATCTACCTCTGCGATTTGTTCCTTAATAAATAAGCTGGTTTGAAGGATTCAAATTCGATTGGTTTCTGGATTTTATTTTCGTGGTGGGACACAAATCAACATCGTAGTTTCATATCAAACTCTTTCGTTCTCGCTCTTACCAGGCGCTGGCTGCGTATGTCAGTGGTGCGTGGTGCAGCAGTGGTGCAGAGTAGGCCAGCGGTGCGGAATAGGCCAGTGGCGACACGCTCTTCACATAGGGCACATGGGCGGCATATGTGGTCGGAAGGGCCGAGTAGGTGGCCACCGGAGCAACCGCCGAGTAGGTGGCAACGGCGGGCGCAGCTGCCGCATAGGTGGTTACGGGCGCGGCATGCACCGTGGTCTTCACAACGGGCGCAACCACATCCTCAACGACGGGTGTGCTGTGCACCTGAGTGACACTCTGGTGTGAGACAGCGGTGGGCACACTCTTCACGACGGCGCCAATCTTGGCCAGAGCAGGCTCCTGTACATAGGCTGTGGGTGCGCTGTAGACGAGCGGTGCGGCAGCCAAATGGCCGGGACGAGCGGCAGCCACGGCGAGCAGAGCAGCGAGAACGAACTGTGGAAGGTGGATAAAGGGTTAGGGAACCACTGGAAGACTAGCCAGCTGTTTGCTCTTACCAATTTGAACATTTTGTAGAGCTGTTGTGTGGGATCTTTGACTTGTGTCGAAGGGTAGACTGTGCCAGTTGTTAAATTGTCGCTGGCTTTTATACTTGAACTTCACTTTCAAGGCGCACGCACACACTCACACAAACACACACAAGTGAATACAATGAGTACTCGTATTCGTACGTGCCTGAACGGATTCTTGTCTCGCATAAACCAGATTATTATTCGCGGCCAATTTCAGTTACGCACCACACCGCGCTGCACCGCACCGCACCGCACCATTTTGGTGGCTATTTTCGTAGCTGAAACCACAAGCCAAGCCAAGACCCAACCCACTCTTGTTTTCATTTACAAAGCGCGGCTCATTAGTCGCACGTCAACCCAGGCCCGGGCTTAAGTATTTGGCCCCGGCACGAGCTTTGGAATGTGCGTGCATTGGCATTTGATTACTTTGTAAACAGAACTCAAGACTTCCGGAAAATTCAAATGGCAATAGAACTTTTCGCTAACTCGACTGGACATCCATATGCGGCATGTGCTTCTATAAAAGCAAGTGAAAAGCTTTCGTTCGACTACAGTTTGATTTCAGTCCAAGTCCAAGCACCACAAGCATGAAGATTGTCATTGCCAGTCTGGTAAGGATTTTAAGACTTGCTTGCATCACCACAAAATTAGGAATCTTCCACATTATTCAGCTCGTGCACATGGTGCTGCTTGTGCCAGCCTGTGGTGCAGCCAGCTTAGGTGCGGTTCAGCGGAAGGATTCGACGGTGGAACATGCAATCGTGCGGCGGGACCTTATGCACAAGATACACGGCATACCCGATGCGCTCAGATCGATATTTGATACAAATGCTGAATATATCAAAAAACCCGTCCAGTTCTTGAGCTTTGGCAAAATCAAACTGGGCGATGACAGGAATAAATCCGATTGAAAAGATAAGCCATAAAAAAGTTACTCTTTTTGCTTGTAAAACAATAACAAAATGTTATTTCAAAGAAACCTAACTTTGAGTAGCAAATATTGTACCAAAAATGAAGACCTAATTCAGCTTTTTTAGCCTTTAAATATTCTACAATAAATTTAATTTTAATTTAAAAAAAACAGACATTAATCTGAATTCGAACTGTCATTCCTGCTTGCCGGAAACTTAGTTTGTTAAATAAAGAGGAAGTGCTTAAAATTCTAGAGAGCGCACATTTGTAATATTGTGCAAAACTATTTTAAGTTTTCTTTTAGTTATAAATAATAATGTTTTATATGTTGTATTAAAAACGAAAAGTTATTTGTATGCGAACATAGTCAATAGTTTTTACAGTGTATTTTGTATACAAGCGGCTTGTCACTTGGGACGTTGAATAAAGCCCTTGCAGCTGCAACATTCGATGCACTTTCTGTTTTTTTTTTTTGCTCGAGTTGCAGGTTCATTGGCCACCGACAACAGCGCGTGGCGCCATTGGCCTTGAACCTAGGCCGAGACCAAGGCACAACTATCACCAATCATATATACCCGGCTAATAATAACACAACTGGAAGTCTAGATTTTCCACCTGAATGACGCATGACAGCAGGAGATTGTAAAATATTCTAGAGAATATTGACGTGGAGGTAATTTAATAAATCAAGTTTTCAGGAATACCAGCTAGTTCACTCTTCTGATTAATATTAATATTATCATTATTATTTGTAGTATAAAAAAACAATTAAACTAACTAAATTTCGATAGAACTGTTTGAGGCCATCGGAAAAGGCACACATAATACAGCCATAAATTATCTTGGGAAGCAATCCCGGATATTCGCCGGATTATATTTAAGTGTATACCTAGACTATTCAATACTTTCAGATTACCATGCTTATAGTTTAAAGAAAAATAACAGCGACTTGTGAAATATATTTGAAAAAATTAGAGCTAAACTTGATAAGTCCAGCTCAGATTTCGTTGTATTTAAATTTTAATTACGGATATGAAAAGCCATTCAACTATGTATCTCGACAATGGAATATTATAAACTCTTGTAGAATAATATAAAATGTATTTCAAATTCGTATGAACGGCAACTCTTAATATTTTAAAATCAAGCACATCCCATGAAAGTAAGCAACCCTTTAGTGAAAGCTTTGGAACGGGTATGCTTGGATAATCCAAAACATAGCCCCCACTTGTTTACAGCGCAGCTAGAGGCCATGCATAGCTGGCGGGGGAGAGCCGAGTTACGGGAAGAGCCTGACAGAGTAAAGACCCTAAGGTCGAGGAACTGCAGCTAAGACAAACAAGGACACTGGCAAAGCGGAAAAAAATAGTTAATACTCGATCGATATTCGAAGCAAAACATTTATTTATTCAAATTCGTATCACAAAGCCGTCCAACAAAATGCACGTCCTACTTCGCATCAGTTGAGTAATGCGGGTGGTTTCCTTTACCACACTCCTGTCGCGGTGTAGGTCAGCGGCGAGGCAGCGGCAATCTGAGCATAGCTGCTGTGCAACACTGGTGCGGCAGCAGCATAGGTGCTGTGCAACACTGGTGCGGCAGCAGCATAGGTGCTGTGCAACACTGGCGCGGCAGCAGCATAGGTGCTGTGCAACACTGGCGCGGCAGCAGCATAGGTGCTGTGCAACACTGGCGCGGCAGCAGCATAGCTGCTGTGCAGCACTGGAGCGGCAGCAGCATAGCTAACGACGGGCGTTGACTTGACCACGGGCGCAACAACATCCTCGACGATATGAGCGGAGCTGTGCACCACCGACTGGCTCTGATGGGAGACAGATGTGGGCACACTCTTCACGATGGCACCAACCTTGGCCAGCACTGGCTCCTGGACAATGGTGGCGGCCGGAGCGGAGGCGTAGACCAAAGGCGACTCGTACAAATGACCGGGACGGGCAGCAGCTACGGCGAGCAGAGCAGACAATACCACCAACTTGAACATATTTGAGTTTTTGAGTAAAAAGTTTGGTCTGTATTGACTGAATGCGTGTTGTAGTAGCTTTGAGTTTCTAGCGAGAACTGCTTGTGGTCTGCCAACTGCAGGCGTTGTTTATATAGCAGCAGGCACAACGCCCGCGACCTTCACTACGCACAACGACGAAATAAAAACCATATCAGATTCAATTCTCACACACATTCAATAAGCAATTAGCGTTGGTGGGCAGCTCAGCTCAACCTCAGCTCAACTCAGCTTGGCTCCAACAATTACTCGTTGACAAACCAAAACCAAAAGAGTTGCTGGCAACCAGTTTATTTTGGCCATTAGCCAAGTGCTCTGCTCTGGCCCTTTATTAGCCGCTGCCCTCAGCTGCATTACTTGCACTTTAAGTGCGTCTCTCGCTTAGTTCTTTCAGGGTCAGCACGTTTGGACTTCAATTTCGATTTCAGTCTCAATTTGAACTTCAGCTACGTGCGTCGCCAGACGTTCAGTTCAAGCAGCTACACCCTGTAGGCTTTGAGAATGTGAAAAAAGGGTATGCTATAATTTTCATTATTACAATAAATGCAATAAATTCAATTACAATTGCATCGACCTTCTGCTGAAAATAGCTATTTCTGTGTGAAGAGATTCGACTGTTTATTAAAACAACAGAGAAGAGCCTCCTATCTTCGGCAATCCCTAGACTTGCACAAGGTTTTAAGAGTAGTCTAGCTCATAAATGCTGACTTATGAAAATATAGATAGATAGACTTCGTATACAGGTATAGAAAAATATGACATTGCGATCTTAACAAAATTGGGATGAAAAAAAAGCCAGCACAAGTTTAACTAGTAAATGCCGAGTTTCGTCAAGATATTTTGATAGAAAAATAGTTGTTCATTGAAGAATTTACCTTTCGACAAATCATATAATGCTTTTCCAGAGGCGTGAGGATGACAGCGTTGACCTCTAACCAATATCGTCAAGAAATTTGTATGAAGAGCTCTTTTCGGGTCTCGAAAGGCTGCACTTGCTTCCCGAATCCCAATCACACGAACTTTATATATATTAGAGTTCTGAGAACGCGCTTCGCTTGCTGTGATAAAATCCTTATAGGCAGTGATGAGTTTATAATTATTGTCCCTTATGCTGATTCAATCACGTTTGATGGCTCAAAGATTTTCACAGCTGGTAAGGCTTAGCTTCATTTAAATTCAGTTTACGATGAGTTAAATAATCCTATTTAATGAATGGTGATTATAAAGCAGAGCTAGGTCGTTTTTAAAATCGGATTAAATTGAGTTCCTGGAATAAAAGGCAGAATTCGTCATTTGTACCAATGTGTTCATAAAAATCATATTTAAAAACGAATGTTAATTGATTAAATGACCCATATTTTAATAATAATAAAAAAGTGTTATTAAGATTAAATAATTGTTCTATTCTAAAGTATCAAATACTTAAGGAGACACTCCGTCTTATTGCTAAGTTCTCAGTATTAGAATTAAATGCAATCTCTAGCCTCCCAACCGACGCCCACTTCAAAGCAAGTATTACACGAGAAAATATGTTTATGAAATTATGGACTTTTATTTACATCAGTCAAAAGGGTCAAGAAAAGAGAACAAAATGCAGAAAGGGTATAAAAAATCTCGAGCAGCTCCAGTCCAGAAACACGCTTCCGCTCAGAGCCGCTCAATGATAATGAAACGGCGCCGAGTCGAAAGTGCCTACCAGGAGGAGGCCCAGCCGTGCGAGGCCCACGAAGGCGACAGGTAGCTGGTGTGCAGAGCTGGTGCGGCATAGGTCTTGATGATGGGCGCTGCATAGGTCTTCACAACGGGCGCCAGAATCGGCTGCACAATGTGCGCCGAGCTGTGCACCTGACTGATGCTCTGATGCGACACCGACGTGGGTATGCTCTTCACAATGTGCCCCACACTGGCCAGCGCGGGCTCATGGATAATCGCTGGTGCAGCATAGCTAGTATGCAGCAGAGGACCTGCCTCCAGATAGCCTGGACGGGCAGCGGCCACAGCGAGCAGAGCAGACAACACCACCTGTGGGCGGACAGTTGGAGAATTGTTAATGGAGAAGGCGTGGCTAGCCAGGTAAGCGACTTGGACTTACCAATTTGAACATTTTTGCTAATCCTTGCGTTACTTTGCGCTAGCTATTTGCTGTAGAAATGAACTGTAGGTCTGTGTTGACGCGTCGCCGTTGACTGTTGCTAGCTGCAAATCCGCGACAGCTTTTATACAAAAAAGCTGACAGACACACACACACGCGATTTACATTCAAAATCCAAAAACTGCGCCAAAAGTGCAGAAAATACAATAATAATAATTTTAGCACAGACATCGTTAAGAAAAGCCAGAAAAACAGCGACGGCGACCCACCCGAATGTCCGCTTGGACGGGCGATCGGCTGCTGCAGCTGATCAACAACAACAACAACAACAACAGCAGCAGCAGCAGCAGCAATAACAACAACAATAACAATGCTTTCGTTTACAGTTTTTCCGACCAGCCCACTAACTTAAAAAAAAAACCAGTCAAAAGCTGCCAGACGTCCGATTGCCCCCATCAGAACGCAGTTGGCCAGTTGGGCACTTGGCCACTTGGTCGCCAGTTGGCCAGCGTCTGCCTCTGCCTCTGCCACTTGCAACACACCCAACAACAACAACAACAACAGGCGCAACATTTTCGTGTCTGCTTTGATGTCATTTTTCCTCAACCCAAAGTTGACCGTGAAAATTGTTATACTCGCTTACAACGCAAAGATGAAGCGTATTGGTTCACAGTAAGCGAATTTTAGCTGGGTGTATATACTCATATATACTCTGTTAAAATATGTATTGGCCACGCCTAGTTAAGGCTGGAGCCAACAGGTGGCCCACTATTTGTTCTTCTCTTAAGATCAAACCCAACAAATTGTGTGACTCGGTGAGCTAATCAAAAATGTAACCAACTTTCCTCCTCGCCTATTTCAAGCTCGTCTTGAACTGTGAGCGAGTATTGCGAAGTCGTAAACAGCCGCACTGCAACATGTTTAGTTGTTCGTGCTTGTGTTTGTCAGTCTGGCGGCACGCACCACCGGCAACCACTACGCAATTGTCGCAGCCACGCAACAGCCAACCGCCACAAGAAGTGGCTCAAGTTCAGTGCGTGGCGACGGTCACTGCCAAATTGCCAAAGTTGGCAAAGTTGTTGTGCTTGTTGTTATGACTAGTTTTTTTTTTTGGGTTTGTTTTGTTTATCCCAGGCTAAGAAGAATTGTAAAGTTTATTAACCATAGAGAAAGGCGTGTGTTGGACAATTAACTGGTTCGATTTGCTGGTCACGTAGAACTCGCAGAACTCTTCAGGCGGAGGGAGTGAAAAACAAGTAGTAGAAGTTGTCTTGGGGGCAACGAATAGCTATTGCGCTTTAGATCTATAACAGATTATATATATAATATATGCTGTTGATCAAGAGATATTGAGTAAGAGATATGATAAGTAAGAAATAAGTTATAAGGAAAAAAAAATAGCAGCATGTATGCTTAATGTTTTAAAGAGATAAGTTGACATAGGTAGATAAGTTCGCACGGAACAATCAAATAGAATATCAAGCATCTTATGCATTGTAGTCAAGTCAGACACCATAACACCCGCTGGGCATACAAAAGGCCCTAGGGTATTAGAGACACAAAAAAAAAAACTGATTACATTCTTTTTTTGCATTAAAAGTAAACATTATTGTAAGCATATTGTAATTTCCTGTTATGTTAATCTGCGCCAGCCAAGACAATGCCTGCCCACATAGAATCCGCTCTTGTCAGATCTTTTGCTCCGCTTCTCTCTCTTTCGCTCTCTGTCTTAAGTTCTCTCTCTCTCTCTCTCTCTCTGTCTCGAGCGAGTTCCGCTTTTGTAATAATTGTTGGCTTAGTTGCCATTCTACAAACTGCGAGCTGTCGCCGTTATGACCATTTGTCAGCTATTTTTTCTTCTGTTCAGCGTGATTAATGAATACTGCAAACTGGCGACATATAATTCAGGCAGCTGCCGCGCCCCCCTTTTGCCACTGTCTCAAGTCTCTCTCTCTCGTATTTGTTTACAAAAAATTATCTTTTTGCCTGCCAAAGTGCTTTTTAATAGATTTTCGATTTCTATTTTTGAGCCAGACTCACGACAATTGTTGTCTGGTTTCTCAACGAAATTCCTTTGGCCCGATATCCGGGCTATGCTCATAGCAGAGGGTAATGTACGCCTTATGGCCAACCCACACACTCTCGAGTTGTCTCTCTGGGGATCGGGTTCGGGCTGGACGGGACAGGGTCTTGTGACAGTTCTGGTTAGCGCGGCTCACCTGGCTTGCATAACAATGACAATATCTATAGATCGTTTAATCTGTGCTGTGTGCAACCTGGCTGGTTGTCTGGTTGCTTTTTAGCCAGTTGTTCCCCAACTGTTAGCGAGCAATTACAGTACTTAACCAGCGCTCAGTGCTGGGTCTACGTCAGCTTTGATCATTTTCAAATTAACTCGAGCTCGGAATGGTCAACGTTTTTCTCAGCTTTTTGTTTGTCATTTCGCTAGAGTCAATTGGCTCGAAGGTCGCTAAGTTTCTGCGAGAATCAACTTTTAGTTCAAGAACGACAAAATACGGAAATCGGTTCCAGATAACAAATTAATCAATACACGTGGAAGCCATCCTGTGTGTAAAGTTTATCTTAAATCTAACTAGAATTTAATTGAAGTTTTAAAGAAATGATTACGAAATTAGAGAGAAGACCTCATTAAAAGTATGCTCGACTATGGCATATCGTTTGATTAGTTCTAAAGAAATCTAGTTTAATAACTTTAGTCATACGCCCGATCTTTACTAAACTTTTAGAATAATTATATACTCGTGACGAGAAAATACAAAGAGGTTCCCTTTTAAATCGACGAATATATACAGACGGACAGAGATGAATATATAGCTTTGATCTGTTCACAAAAACAATAGATATTCTATTTTCTTATTATAGGATTTGAACTAGCAGCTGGGTTCATAGTTGTGCAAAATTAGGGTTCATGAACCAAACCTAGTTTTGATCATTTCTGTAGGACTTCTAAGGCATGTGAATAGGGCATCTGCTATTCATATAACCTAACGATAACCATTACTCATGTTGTAAAGGGTATACGGCAAAAGGCTTTGGCATAATTGCTTAAAGCACAATCTTAAAAAATACAACTATTGCATATGCAGGCAGAAAATAATGAATACACATATCTACTTAACTAACTATCAATCTTAGTGTCATATACATGTGTATGTACAAATGTTTGAGCAGAATTTGGGTGCATGTAAATTGACTAAATGTTCAGCTTTATTCATGCTTTGTCCGAACATGAAAACCGCCGCCCCACAGCAACAATACAAATGGGAGCCTGTCCTGCCACAGTTAACTCAGGTGTCAGTCAGTCAGTCTGTCGGTCGGTCGTTCAGTCGTTTAGTTAGTTATTTGGGCACTCGGGCAGCCGGCGCCAGGCACGAGTAAGCCAAAGTCTGGCAAAGAGTTTGGCAGATTGCGCAAAACAAAAAAGCGAACAAAAAAAAAAAAAAAAATCAGTGAGAAATGCTTTTTGGGGGTTTCAGTTAAATAGATAGACACATATATAATTTTCAGGCCTGCAGCTGCGCGTTTTTTAGTGGGTTGTTCGTTTAGAGATAATATGAAAAGCGTATTGGAAAATGTATGCCATTCGAGTGGCTTGTTCAAGCATTTCGATACGTAATTGCATTAACACGCAGCGCTTAGTGGGGACAACGCGGCGTATGCTTAATAAAGCAGCAGCAACAGCAGGTGGCCAAAATGGTCAAAGATTTGTGGCAAATCGTGTTGCTGTCGCAGTTGTTGTTGTTGTTATTTCTGCTAAGGTCAGTTGAGTGTCCATCAACGACATTTTTAGCTGGTCAGCGGATGTGTGTGCAAAGTTATTTCCATAGCAATAACATTGAAATTACTTTTGGGCTCACACGGCGTATGCGCAATGTTGAGCAAAGAGTTTATAGCAGGCGCCCAGACTAACCCACTAACCCAAAGCGAATGGCTTGCAACATGTTGCCAATAAAGCCAGTTTTACTTTTAGAGAGTGCAACATTTCCTGGTGCAGATAAGACAAATTCGTTGCATTTGTTAATTTTCGGGCGTGTTCGCTCTGTGGGTCAAGCCAATTGATCAGACATTCAGCTGGCCAAGCCACAGCAAATTGTTGTGCAAATATTTTCATATTCAATTGCTCGCCGCCTGATTAATCTAAGCCAAAAGATAGCCGACAGCGAGTGCCTCCATTTGGCATTTGGCGTCGAGCTGCTGCACTTGTCGCCTGTCAATTGCAGCGCGACATTCTAATGAGCTTCCCCCCTTCCCCGCCAGTTGAGCACCTTGAATGTCGCGTTCGTGAACTTTTTGTTTGCTTTGTGTAGCTCCAGTTTCTAGACTTAAATATCATAGCCAAATGCAGGCATAGCTCTTCAATCCTAACCACGACACCTGACGTTGAGGGTACAGGCTGCGAGTCTGCCACTTGTTGCCACATTTTTATACTCCAGCAGTGAGTCTTATAATTGTGACGAAATATGGGCAATGCATAGAAGAAGACATCTTTAACTCCATAAGGTATACATATATATTATTGATAGTTATGTTAGATTCGAGTCTCTTAGTTTTCTATCTTGAAAAAGACGTTGCGTAGGTCAGCTGTATTGAGTTTAGTTAGTTTCCCAGGAATAAACTCTTTTATTTGCTATATATTCTGATATAAAAACTAATTATTCTCTCAACAAATAAGCATATTCTAATCAATATCATTTCTTAACAGACCACGATCTTATATATTATGTAGGACTCTTTATAGGTTCTCACACATGTCATATGTCTGCCAGGGTATCTAATCTCCGACTACCCCTTGTTTCTTGTTAGCAAAGTTCAGCTAGTTTTTGCAGAATATTGAAAAATTCTCAGCTTAAATATAAAGATAACAAGAGTTGCAACTAATTTCCACGCCAGCAAATCGGATGGAAAATAATGCACAATTCAATTGGCGAGTGTGAATTTCCGCTGCAAAAAGAAGCCAAAAAATAAAAATTAAAAAAAACCAACAACAATTTGGCTGGCTGGTCAAGGTCGTTGCAGGCAAATGTAACACTGGCATAAATTATGCTTGCCAGTTGCCAGTTGCCACCATGTGTTGCAAGCCAATTCGACAACAGCAACAGCAACAACAATTACAAGTTGCTGCCATTAGTAACGGTATATACGATGAACTAAAGGCACAAATTGCGGCGACATAAGCAGAGGCAAAGGCAAAGGCAAACGCTTTGGCAATTACCAATGGCAACATTTGTGCCCAGACGACAACAACAACAATCGTTGCCAAAATCTTTGACACGCTTGATTGAGCCATAGCCGAAGTGTTGGGCATGGTTAACACTGATTGAAGATACCAAGCAAACAGCTAAGGATAAACGTGAGCTGGGATAGATCCAACAACAGGGTTTCTGATGAGAAAGTTAAATTCTAGGAATTGAATGCCAGAATTATTGGTTCAAAGCTAACAAGAACTGCTAAAGCAAATAGAACACTGAGCAGCAAAAACAAAAATTAAACAAAACATAATAAAAAATTATAAATTACTTTCAACAAAATACTAATTTACATTAAATTTAAAGAAAGACTAGGAATATTTGTTGCGCTATGACCAAACATAAAAATAAGTTCAAAGACAAAAGAAATTTAAGTAAGCTAAAATAAACACAACTATTAACATTGGATATCTGCACATAATTGAATTTCAACAAAATAATAAACTAGAATATGTTCTGGGAAAATACCTTTCAAGCTTCAGTCAGGAGATCAAAACAGAAGTGTATGAAGAGTTTTTCAATAGTTAACATATAATAGAATTATAATGCTAGAATGTGCGATTCTAATGCCTAGGTATATGGGGCTTACCTGTGTCCATAATGGGCGCACACAATCCACAAAACCCCATAGAACTCCGTACCAGCGAAAGGAACTCTCCTAAAATGCTCACACTTAACTTATGTTAACTTAACTTGTGTTTTGTAAATAAATCGACATCTATGGCTTACAATGATGTTGCTCTGAGAGTAGTAAGCATTTAGCTGAAGTATACATCGACTCTTTTTAATTTGTGGTAGACGAGAAATAAGATGAGGTCATCCGGAATTGGTTACTCTAGCTCTAAAGTTTCGTATGCATATCTAAAACACGAGAATTTATTTATCTGTTGCAAATTTTGGAGTCGAGTGCTTAATTATTTAAGACATACTAAATGAACAAGCCCGATCTCGGATCGTAAGCAGGGTCTAAAATATATTGAAATTTATAAAAAAAAGTCTCTTTTTAATAATATAATATAACTATCGTTGTTAGTATCAGCTGCCTTCCATTCATGCTGCTTGTAGGCCAGTGTAAGCGAAGCGATAATCAAAAGCGAGGCAATTACAGCGTCTGCTGCAACGGCAACTGCAAACTGCAACTGCAACTGCAACAGCCACTGCGGATGCAAGTGGCAAATGTTGTTAATGCCGGCAGCGCGGATATGGCAAAGCGGCAAAGTCGGTGGTGCTGCTGAGTAAAGGGGGTGGTGGAGGGTGGCGCAAACAGAAAACGTTGCATTGAAATCGCGACAAACAATGAGAGCATCTGCAGCTGTTGGAACTGCCGAGCGTCGAGGCAGCAGCTGCTGCTGCTGCAGCCAATGGCAACTGATGCAAGACGGCAAGTGTATAAAAGCCACCGCGTGGTGTCACGGTGGCATCAGTTGCACGCTGCAAGTCATCGAGCACCCCACCACTGACTCACACACACAGACAAGGATATCACACACACACAATATGCTGAAATTGGTAAGGATAACCCTCAAGCTGCCCAAAGAGTTCCCTTAACAACTGTCAGTTTGTTTTACAGTTGTTGTCGCTGCTGCTGCTGTGCGCCCTGGCCGCTGCACGGCCTGGATATCTGCATGGCCACCACCACCATTATCCGGAGTATCCGCTGTTGGCCGCACACCACCACCACATCGAGCCGCTGCATGTAGCCAAGATTGTGCATGTGCCCGCTGCCGTGTCGCATCAGAGCTCGACGGTGGTGCACAGCGTGCCGCATCACATTATCAAGCCGGTGGTGTTGCCCACGGTGGTGAAGACTTTGGTACATCCACCCATCATCAAGACATACCATCCGGCGCCCATTATCAAGGCCTATCCCTACGATCCCTTCCACTTTCATCATCATCACGATTTCCATGATTATCACCTGCACTAGGCAGCCACCAGCATGCTCTCTTACTCTATAAACCACCCACCCAGCCACTTTTACCACTCGATCTTGCCTGCTGCTGCCTGAATGTGTATGAATGTGTGTGCAAACTGTTGTCCAGCAACTCGATAAATGTATTAAGAAATTTTAATAAAAAATTTAAACTAAATGAAGTAAATAATATTTTTGTGGTCATACATTTTACTAGAGAAATTTATCAGACGTTGCTCTGACGCTGATAAATGCATGATTTGAGCCAGCGACCTCTCGCTTTTTGGTGCGACCCTCAGACATGCGCAAGCTAGTGACGTCTTTGCAATGCACAGTTACATGGAATTGTTATTTATATCTTTTTCAGACGAAGTTTGGGCTGCGCGTTGATCGCAAATCAGTTCGTCAGTCTTTATATTTATATTGTCAGCTTTTATGTATTGATTTTGCATGTTATTTGTTTTTATCGGAGATATTTGTGGCTTGTCTTGCATTTGATTGCGGGTAATCGATAGCCCCCTCATAAATGCCTGACTGGAGATGCTGACGTCAAGCAGACAAACATAACTGAAGACTGATTACCTATGCACAGCCCGATTACCTTTTCACCCACAGCTCTTTAAACAATACCTTAGCACGCATAAACAATTGAACTGGTTTTTGTGTTAGCCGGAAAGTAAGCCTATAGCACATATCTCTTGGCCTGTCTCCACCACAAACAAAACACATAATAATAACTGCAGGGCAAGTTACTTTTCTGAAGTAGAGATGGAAGAGTATCAAGTTTTTTCAAAATGATACGAACACGATTCAAAATTAGAGCATACGATACAAGATTAAGTGAAATATGCCATTAAATACTATAATACTAATTAAATACTATATACTCTCGAAGCCTTAAGAGAGCATTCCAAGGGTCATTATCATACATCTAGAAATGAAAACTCCTTATGTAGTGTCTATTCCATCCGAAGCCGTGAAAAAAGGGCGGAAAGCTCATATGCAAAGTGATTTGTGAAATGCATTGGACTTACACACACTAGTCAGAAAATCAAAAGTAATTGGTCTCTCTTATAAAAGTACACTAAAGCAGACCAATTGTGAAAGCTCAACTGGACACGTGCTCATCTCCAGCCCTTGGAGGGCTGTGAATAATAGGCTAAACCTAAGCGACTAGGTGACATAATTAGCATGTAATCAGGGAGTTATCATACGACACCAGTGGCAGACAACGTGAATGGTTGTTGGGTTGGTTGTTGGGTTGGTTCCCAAGCTTATGACAGACACACTTGGCCGACAGCACGTGTGTGCGAGTGTGTGTGGCAACAAATGCTGTTTCTGTGTTATGCAAATGAGTGCATTAGCAAAACGAGTGCAGAGTGCCACAAATGGTGCTAAAGATAGATACATATATAGATATGGTATAGTTCATCGAGGAGCATACCTGATGGCACTTATGCTCTTATGAAACGCTGAGCTCTTGTGTTCCAGCTCTCCTGTGCACAGTTTCAAGTTCATATTTATGTGTGCTCGTCTCCTTTGAAATTTACACAACTGTTTGCATAAGCTGCAAAGCATATGCAAATCGTATGCCAATTAAATCAAGCCAATTGCAGACAGAACGAACACTCACAAATCAATTGCCGTATTCATTTAAATGGCAACCTGTCCGCCCCATAAGTCTAAGCAAATCATCAGCATTTAGTTAATTTGCGCTAATTAGTTGAGTCGAGTCTGTGACGACAGCTCGCAAACTGACTCAAGGGGGGCGGCTAAAGACTTAAGCGCCGATGAGCTTATCAATTCCTAGATCCATCAATTAAAATCAAATCAAAGCTACGCGTTTTTTTCGCAGGCCTTAACCCTGAACGGCGCTTTGACCACAACGAATTTTTCAGGGCGAGCAAATCAAGAGGTAGAAAGGCGGGGTTAGGAGCAGACTAAGCAGCTGACAGCTGTTAACTGACTACTTGCATACCCTGTAACTTATGAACATATTCCAAAGGGGTATTTATACTCAAGAACTACTTAAAAAGTTTTGTATGTGAACTCTATATGTCACTATTAATTATTATATAATTTACTGTCCGCTATGAGATTTAAATATAGCAGTATCCAACTCATTATCTTTATAAACTTATTGATCTCGAGAAGTAAACTATCTAGTCAGAGCAAATTTAGTATGTCACCTCTATTTGCCACTATAAATTATAATTTATACAAACAACAGAGCGATCTCAAGTATATATAACACTTTTCCTACTTTCTGTCTGTCAATCTCGAGAACTCTATCAGGTATGTGGAATCTAAATGACATTATAAATTTTAATTTATTTTAATGATAAGTCCAAATGTGAACAATCGTAACTACAAGACAACATTTTCAGGTTGATTTAGTTCCCGGTTTGAGCCAGATTCAAAATTTCGTATAGCCAGATTGTAAGTTCGAGTTTGGGTTCGGTTCCACCCCAATTTGCAGCCTTTATGACAATAATTACTACAATTCGATTGCTTTATTGCCTTGCAAACTTAATGATTCTGGGGAGCACCCAAGCTAAATGCATGATGTGCAAACGTTTCAATATTACACAAGACAAACTGAGACACAATTGTCGAACAAAGTGTTCACATTAATCAACCTTTGCCAACAGCTTTGGCTTAATTTATGCGAGCCAAAAGTGCAAAGAGCAGGCCGCAAACACACAAACTGATACACACACACACACACACACACGCCTACCCTCGGGCTGTCTTTCTTTGCCATATGATTAAGAGTGGAGCACTTTGTATAATGTGGTCTATCTGTTGATTTGGTGTGCGCGGAGGTGCGGAACGCATGCAACAAAATCAAGCATACGACGCGTTGCACGAGTGGACGTGGGCATGTCCATAACCTGTTAACGTGTTCAAAGCGAACCCAAGTCAAGCAAAACCTGAACGTAAGCCGAGAACGAGAACAAGAACCTGTCCCCGGAAGGGTTTCCAAGCTTTTCACTGCAATGCATCAAGTGTGTCGCGTGTCGCTCGAATCTGTGTGTTTGTTGCCAGGCCAAATGGGGTGACAAGTGCCGAGGCGTTGACACACACACACACACACACACACACACACACACACACACTCACATACACATAGACAACAGTATACACTCGACTGATGCACTGCTGTTGTGTTTTGCAATATTCCGTATAAATAGGCAAGTGTTCAATGCAATTCTATGTCAAATCGTTGCCAACCATCGACACAATAAAATGTTCAAGCTGGTAAGTAATTAGTTCTCGATAAGATCCTTAGATCCCAGTTCTAATTATTTGCCTTTGACAGTGCGTATTCGTTGCTCTGCTGAGCCTGGCGGCTGCTGCCCCCGCTCCAGCACCTGTGCCGGCGCCTGCACCCTCCGGACTCTGGGGACCCACCGTGGTTGGACCCAGCATTTGGGGACCGACAGTTGTTGGACCACACGTCGTGGCAGCAGCTCCAGTCGCTATTGCACCACGCGTCGTTCAAGTTGTGCCCGGCGCTGTGTCCCATGTGTCTGTCAGTCAGCTGCATCCTTCGCCCGTCCTGGTGAAGAGCATATGGTAAAAGCTGTCTTCAAGTTGACGCATATACGCGCACACACGCCGACACACACTCACTCACACACGCGCTGAACACATGTAGCCACCGGCTAATCCCACTTCTGACATTGTTTAACCAGCTGAAATTTCACGTGCCCTGTTTACGAAACAACAGCAACAAAAAAATCACAAAAAAAAATTGTTTAAGATTATAATAAATAAAATGTCCTTACAAAAAATAATTCCTATAGCGAGCGAATTTAAAGTCTTTTGATTTTCTTAACGAGCCAAAAAGTATGCAATATTTATTCTAAACGAATGCACAGGCTTATATAAGACGGCTGCTGCAAGACAGCCAATCAAAGCTGCCAACATAGCCAGTACCTGGATTTTATAAGACTGCTAGTATAAGACTGTAAATGACTGCATCTATAAGTCTGCTTATGTAAAAGACAGTGACTGATTTTTATAAGACAACTGTTGTATAAGACGACAAGTCATATCTGTGTAGACAGCACATATGCTGTCTAGATCGACTTTATAAGACTGTTAGTATAAGAATGCTGCTGTATAAGATAGAATACCAAATCTCTAATATATATAAACTTCTATGCCAGTTATTAATAGCCTTTTTAAGTGCTCTTTTAAATGAAATGAAAAATTTTATTAAAATAAAATCATAAATTCCCTATCACAATCAATAGCTGATGTTCTCATTCAGGCAAATCGCCATCTAATGATGCAGAGTGTAAGCCAAAGGAGCTGTGTGCACCACAGACTTGATCAAAGGCGCGGAGTGGACAACGGGCACCACTGGAGCAGCATGGTATACAGGAGCGGCATGGACACCCACAGCTGGAGCGGCATGGACAGCCACAGCTGGAGCGGAATGGATGGTGGTCTTCAGAACTGGAGCTACGACATGTTGGACGACAGGCTTGCTATGGACCTGAGTGATGCTCTGGTGGGAGACAGCCGAGGGTGCGCTGTGAACCACAGTGCCCACCTTAGCCAGAACGGGCTCGTGCAGCACATGGTGAGTCTCAATTAGGCCGGCGCTGGCGGAGGCGAACAGCAGAGCAACAATAGCTACCTGTAGTCAGAATAAATTTCAATCTTTAATAATAATTCATCTTCATCCCAATAAAGTTAACCTACGTATTTGAACATTTTGGGTTTTTGTGTTTGCAGCTTGGACTTGTCTGGAGGAGCTTTGAATCGTGACTGATGATGTTTTTGGGGTCTGCAGTCGTGTTTATATAGAACGCGTCGTGCTTAGTCGCCAATGGGGAAGTGAACACACAAAAGACCAAAAGGCAAGCAAAGCTTTAGCCTTCAATACGACTCAGCAATAACCCCAAAGCCAAAGCAAGCCGCGTCCCGTAGCCAAGCCCGAAGCCAACTAGTTTGAGTGCGATCGTGTCTGTAATTATTTCCGACAACTGCAACGAACGATTCAAACGCAGCCGCAGCTGCTGTCTTATCAAAGCTCAGGTGAGTCAAGGTGAACGACCTGTGGTCGATATCGCCTACATATGAGCCCTAAGCTAGCAGCCAGGCTCCTATAAAAGCGTTTCGCGCAGAACCCAACAGCATCAGTTAACAATCTCAGCTTCTGCGTAAGACAACAAATTGTCCAAAAACACAAAACTCAAAATGTTCAAATACGTAAGTGCTAACTGAACATGGATGTCCGAATCGCCTTTAAAGATCTCTTTTTATTCTAACAACAGATTGCTATTGTTGCTCTGCTGTTCGCCTCCGCCAGCGCCGGCCTAATTGAGACTCACCATGTGCTGCACGAGCCCGTTCTGGCCAAGGTGGGCACTGTGGTTCACAGCGCACCCTCGGCTGTCTCCCACCAGAGCATCACCCAGGTCCACAGCAAGCCTGTCGTCCAACACGTCGTAGCTCCAGTTCTGAAGACCACCATCCATTCCGCTCCAGCTGTGGCTGTCCATGCCGCTCCTGTATACCATGCTGCTCCAGTGGTGCCCGTTGTCCACTCCGCGCCTTTGATCAAGTCTGTGGTGCATACAGCTCCTTTGGCCTACACTCTACACCACTAAAAGCCAACTTGTTATGTTATTTTCATGAAGTAAAAAAAAAATATAAAAAAATATACTTAAAGTATTATTGAAAAATAAATAATGATGTATTTTATTACTTTAGAAGAATAGAATATTAAAAGCCTTAAAAGTTGAAAAGTCAAAGACAAGGGGGAAATGATAGAGTGAAAGATAGAGAAAACGAGTGAGAGATAGATTCTTCTGAGCTGTGCCCAAATTATATCGGAATTAAAAATAACGTTTTATATATATTTATTTAAAAAACAAAAACAAACAAAATACCAACAACTATGCAAGGTTAAAAATATTTTCAACCTAAGCTAACTGGCGACTTGTAAATATGATGCCAATGAATTGGGCAAAGCGTCTGCAAGATATCCAAATCCCAACACAAAGTCTCATTGTGTTGGCTGCACTGTCTGTTGGGATGCACCAGCTCCACCCTGGAGCCAATCAAAGCTTGTCTATGCAACCATCGAGCTTCTCCAGTTGAGCTCACAAGCGCTAGGCAGGCGACAAACGCCAAAGAGTACAGCAACTGCCATGTGGAAAGGGTATTTAATATCCAGTAGAGTATTCTCGAACTCGGGCTTACCGCTCTATGCATGTTGTTTGGGTCAATTGAATTGGATTTAGTCTTAGTTTGAATTGGCTGCCACCGAACTCCAGTAAGAACTCATGCCACATTAAGGCCTAAGAGTCGTTTATATAGCCAAGTGCCAAAAGCCAGCAAATGATTTGGCCCAAATTATTAAACGACAAATTATCAAATGACAACAAATGACAATCTGGCAATTAGTTATGCTGGATTAACTGAAGGCCTAAAGACTACAATTGGGAGACTGAATGGTCAACTGGTTCACTCGAACGGCAATTAGGGTTTGTAGGTAAGTCTTCCAACTGGAGATAAGTTATATAAATATGGCTAGAGAAATAGCAAATGCGAATTAGAAAGGTCTACAAGTCAATACAAAATGCAAACATTGAGGTACTGTAGATATTTAAGGACTAGAAGGAATATCCAAGCATTATCTAGATGTCCCTTTGCTGTCGCTAAAACTACTTTTAGTTATATTATTTCGTAATGGAAAGAAGGTTTTGCAATCCAATCGTCTATATCACAATTTGCTGATGAGAAAACTAGATGGATCTTGAAATAGCTAAACACACAACATGCGCTGCGTGTTGTTTGAAAACAGGCCACAAAATCTTTGTGATTATAAAACTTCTATATCTATATATTACTGCCGATTCTGACTAACTGAAAAACTGATTGAAGGTCTGATTGATTGATCATTAACGAACAGCCAAACTCGTGTGGAAGCTAGGAAACTGTATTTTTAATAGTAGTGAAAACTTCCTCACGCAAAGGACTAAAATAAAGCAACAGAAACAGCCTGTATAGAGATAGAGCGCAGGATGTTAAGCACCTGCTCAAATCAGTCTGAACCCCGCTTCAAGTAATCAATAGCATTGCTTGGAGCCTGGTCAGAAAGCCACCGTCAATCCACAGCCGACAACAGACGGCAGACGAGTTCAACTGCAGTTGCCACAACACAAATTAGGATTTACGACGAAGCTGAAGAGTGGCGACTCTTGTAAAGTCTTCGCGTATTTCATTTTCGAAAACAAATTATTTATTTTACTGAGATGTTTATCTTAAGTACGTGTAACTGTCACGGCGCGCGGCGAGACATTACAAAACATATATATATAAATATATTTAAAAAAAAAAAAACAAATCTTGTCAAAAAATTGTGGGTTAAGTACGCGTGGGGCTTGTCTCGTCCGTAGCTTAACCTTGACATAGGGCCCGAGACGGAGCTCCTCAAGTGGGCACTTAACGGCGGCAGCTGCACTTGGTAGTGCTTTTTTTATGGCTCCTACGGCAACAACAACATGTGTGCGTCTTGCTTTTGGGTTTGGCCATGAATCAGAGACACAATCAACAATAACAATCAACATCAACTGGATCTGTGACCGACCACGTTTACGCGGCTGTCGATGTTGCAATTTTGCTTTAATTTGAATGCTGCAGCTCCAATTGCAATGTGTATAATTTATTGTGAGTATTGTGAGTGTGAGTGCTCCCCCTGCTTCCATCCCCCACTCAACGAAAGGTAAGGCAGCATCTTTCAGGTGTGTTCTGGTTATTATAGAAATTGGGTCGCATTGAAAACTGGGTCAAGCTGTAGATTTGATAAACCTTTTTCAAAGAGGATTACAATTACGTGCTGAGCGATTGAAATCTAGAAATTACAAAGCTATTGCATAACTATTCCCGAAGTAATAGATTATTAACAAACAATATATTGAAAATATATAAAAGGTTGTGGCCTTCGGCGGAGTCATTATTAACATCCATCTGATAATCGAACCCGGAACTTGGCAGTTCCGTTGCCTTAATGACTCCATCAATTAGGCAATTTATCTATAAAGGTCGACAAGGCTTAGGTGTGCACATTTTGTTGTTATTATACAACAAACATACTGTTAAAAAGTTTGATGGGTTTCCTCATGATTTCTATATATCATCTGTTTCATTTACTATTTTATAAATTAGTGCAAAGAATATCGTCACTACAGTATTTTTAAGAACAATCAGTGAATTGATCTTAATTCAATTTAATCCATACCGAAAGCAGGTTTTAAGGTTTAGTCATTGAATCATTGGGTCCAATCCGAACTATGGCCTGTTGATTAACCGACCGAGTAGTCGATTAAAATATAAAATATACCTTTCTTTTAGTTCACACATACCTATTTACAAAATCCTTTATGTGATTTTGATAGATTTTGGATTAATAATCACTTACAGTTTCATACTTATCAACTTCATAATTGATTTCAATGAGTTTTTGAAATTTTTTTTATATACTTATACACATATAGATTATAATTTAGTCGGTCCACTGATCACGAAGTCCTGGCTTGAGCCTTGCGTGTAGAGAGAAGACAAAAATTGATCAATTGTCCAACTATTTTGATGAGCTCTCATGAGCTATACGTATTTTATATATAGGTCTATAATCTTCCATTAGCTTTTATGGCTATCAATTTAAAAGCGTCTAGTATAGTAATATCCTTAAGTAGTTGTATAACCCTTACTACTGCGTTTCAAACTGCATTTCCGCAAAATAAAGGAACTTCTATAGGCTATTTAATCGTTAAGCTGTAAGCTTTTCACAAGAGGCAACTCTTCGAATTACTCGTTTATAAGAGCTGTTCGACAGAGTTCCCGAATAAGTTGACATACTATTTGTTTTATTTCCTGGGACACATACGTTACGACACATTCATTACATTTGTGCAGCTTTCACAAGAAGCTCATATTTTATTCTTCTGTATTGTTTCTTATCGAACATGCGCAACAAATCTTTTATTAACTCTTATGAGCTGATTTCGCAAGAGGCTCGACTTCTGGCAGATATCTTGCCGCATCTGATGGCAAACTGTTGATTGCGTCAGCAGCATAACTCAATTGTTGCAACTAGACACACACACACACACACACACACCCCCACACGCACGCGCTCGTACACTCAAATGCAGCTGTCAATGCAAAAGTGAGAGATTGTAACTTAATTAGGTCGCCGCAGAAATGCGGAGACTGGCAAATGCCAGCGTAGATGGCATTGCTGCATAAGATAAAAACGAAATGTCAGCAATGCATTAAGGATTAAGGCAGACGCAGGATAATCAAGCCGACTACCCACACACTCACCCACCCACACCCGCGCACACATATACTTCACAATTTGCGTAAGCGCACCCACATCTAAGGCCAATTACGAGTCGCATGGGAGCTGAGCTGATGCTGATTCAATTGTCAGCTGGTGCGCAGCAACAACAATAAGTACAAGTCTAATAAGCAAGTACTTGGCTTCCTCTTACACACACACACATGCACAGCCACACAGCTAAAGCGCTTTACAATGGCAGACCTAGGTCAATTCATGAACTTCCCATTGGTATTGGTTGAAGCTTAGAAGCTGGCCGCACTCGAACCGGTTGGCGGCTCAAGTTCATGCCCAACCAAGTCAAAACCAGAATTGAAATTACCAAAAAAAAATAATAATGATAATAATAGCCAACAACTGTCCCGCTTTGTATAAAAGCAGTCGTTCAATGCCCCAAACAGCAGCAGTTGTAATCGACTCACAAATCAAACAGCAAATACTCTCTCAAAATGTTCAAACTCGTAAGTGCAGCCGAGGCTAATGCCAAATGTCCTGTCTATAAATCCTTGCCTCTATCCTTGCAGATTGCCTTCTTTGCCTGCGTGTCAGCCGCCGCCGCCGCACCCGGACTGCTCACTGCCACACACTCCATTGTCCAGCCCGCTGTGCTCACCAAGACCGCCTATGTGGACCACAGCGCCTCCTCGGCCATCACCCATCAGAGCAATGTGAATCTGGTGCGTAAGGTGCCTGTTGTGCCTGTCGTCCAGACCTACCATGCCGCACCTGTAGTCCATGCCGCGCCCGTTGTGCACACTCCCCTTGTCCACGCCGCACCCGTTGTCCACACCTATGCTGCTGCCCCGGTGGTGCACTCTGTGCCCGTGGTGCACTCGGCTCCACTGCTCAAGACTGTGGTCAGCGCTCCAGTCGCCTACACTGCCATCCACAAGTAAATAGTTAAACGTTCCCAAGAACATACGAATAGTTCAGCAACATACGAAACAATAAACCGCAGATTTTAGCCTCGAACCTTTCATTGTTTTTCAATTTAGGAAGCAAAGTATCCAAAAGAAAAAGATATTTAATATATGATTGTTCTAGGATAATTAAATATCAATTTTGTTGTATTTAGTTCAGTTGAGATTGAAACTCTTATAAGCTATTAGAAACAGTTTTACAATTTCCTGATACCGCTTATCCCCTTTTTACAGGGCATAACAATTTATTAAGCCAAAAGACGTTTCTTTCTGGCAAGCCCCAGTTTACAGAAGTCTTTGGAGAAATGCAGTTCCAAATTAATATAAAGTTTGACGATTTTAATTTTCAAATACAACAGATACAGATTTATAACACTATATAGCTCCAGCAAGTCCTTTGCAACACTATAATTAGACTAATATTAGACAGCTGTCAAAAATGTCTTCTGTTCTGAAGTCTTTTGTTCCAAGTCCCTAGCTCATTAAATTGTAAATGCTTAGAAAACTTAGAGAAAAGAAACGTGACCAAAAAATTTGCATCAAACAATATAGATGAGAACTAATTGAACTGAAATAGAATACTTGGGAAATACATTCAATGACGGTGCATAGAAAAAAGTAGAATGGAATCGAGACTTTGACGAAATTGATTTCAATAGAACACAATTTTGATAGAATCATTTGTCATATTTTAATTAAGTATACGGAAGACCTTTAGAATCGCACAAGCTTTCGTCGAATAACTTGAACAAACAAATTATAAATGGGAAATATATACTAATAGTTATTTGTGCATAACATACCTCGGTAGAATTTCATTTTGGAATGACGCATTTGTTCGACGTTTAATTAGCATAAGTCCCTCGATGGCCTGGGAAACCAATAGAAATAAATATATTATAGAACTCTATTATATATATTTCGAATGTATATGTAATCAAGAATTTTATAAATTAAATAAAATAATTAATCTTTTACTTCGTTCAATATCCACAATTTATTCAAATAATCAACAATTCCACAAAATCAATAAAAAATAATGTTCTTAGTGGTGGTAGACGTGAGCGACGGGGGCAACAGCTACATGTTTCACCACCGGCACCACTGGAGTTGCGATGGTCTTGACGACGGGGCTGACAAAGGTCTTCTGGTGGATCTGTGTGTGGCTCTGGTGAGAGACGGCATGGGGCACAGTCTTGACAACGGACACTGGAGCTACATAGGTCTGGTGGTGCACAACGGGAGCCACATGCTTGACAACGGGCACCACTGGAGCCACATGGCTGACAACAGGCACTACGGGCGCTACATGTTTGACGACAGGCACAACAGGAGCCACATGCTTGACGACGGGCGTAATAACCGCCTGGTTGTGGAACTGTGTGAAGCTCTGATGGGAGGTGGCAACGGGTGCACTGTGAACCACAGCGCCCACCTTGGCGACAACCGGTGCAGCCACCACATGATGCTCCTCGACGAAACCAGGCGCAGCTGCGGCAATGGTGGCCAGGGCACAGATGGCAATCTATTTTTTGAAATCAGCAATAATAAGTTTCCTTTGAAGATGCCTTTTCAGCTACTTACAAAGCGGAACATTTTTAAAATTGGTTTTTTTTTTCTTAGGTTTACTCGGAACGAAGCTGATGAGTGACTGTTGCTGTTGAGGCACCTGGTCCGGCCTTTTATATCGTAAAAATGTTTGCCAAAATGTCCTTCAAGCACACACAAGCAAACCAAGTCAAACAAAAAAGCAAACACAAAACAAATTTGCAAACTTGTTTTGAGCAATTATTAATATATTTTTATTGCGGTTCAACATTGAACTTGAACTAGGCAATAGACAAACGGGAGTCTTCGGCTTGCACAGCTCAAGTTTCGCTCTTTTTAGGGCTGTAAGAAACGTATTGCAGGCTATGTGTCATATAGAAATGTAAGAAATTCGGCTTTGAAGATCGTGCAGCTCGTGCTGTGTATTGTTCATCAATCAGACAATCAATCAAGCCGTCTGACTCAAATATAGGCAAAAGACTGTAAACATCAGAATAACTGACTACTGTACGCTTATCATCAATCAATCAATCCGTCAAATGCATACGCGAGAACAATGTGGGAAAGCTGTGTAAGTAGAAATCGAAAATGAAACGAATTTGAATATTAGAAAATCGGCAAATAATCGCGCGTCTCATGTTGCTGCTCCCAGCACGAACACGCACGAAACTACTTTGGAGTTGAGTCGTGCCGTGTCACGACATCAATCATGCGTGTGTCACAACTCTAATTTGAACTACAATCAGTCAAACAGGGCACAAAGCGACAACCTTCAAGGAGGCTCAGATTGAAATATGGCCAAGACTTGGGCTATGGAAAAGCCGAAGGTCGCGGCTGAGGCTTACATATTGTGAAAACACGATGAAATGCACATTTATTTCACAGAAAGAAACGTCAGTGTGAGCGAGAACACAAGAGCGAGAGCGAGCGAGATCTGAAGAGCGCAACGGTCGAGCGTCGAGCGTGATAAAAGGCCCACAGATATACATATAAGAGCAGCCGGATCCCTTTGGACTGATCAGTCGCTGCCCGGCAGCACTTAGATGCGGCAGCGATTGACCAAACAAGACCAACCTGCGATTGAGGTTAAGAATAAAGATGAGAGTCGACTTCGTACGAAAGGATTTTGGGTGTGCGGATTGAGGATTTTGGAGTTTCGTATAAAACAAACATTTTTTAAATTTAATTATGCGTGAACGGGGCGATCGGCACGAAATTCTCATAGTCCGAATCGATTTCCGGCAACAATTCGAGAAACTCGGATTCATGATATATTCGATAGGTTCTATTACCATTCTGTTGATTCTCCGAGTCCGTATCACCGTTCGTCGTGTACTGTGACGACTTCTGTCGCTTGCCGCTCCTCGCGGGCAGAAACTCGGTGCCGATGCTCAGTCGTGCGAGCGAGGGATTCGTGTACTGAGCACGCCAGGTCAGATTGCACTTCTCATAGAACTCTAGAGCGGATTCCTCCATGCTGTTCTCCGAGGCTTGCACCAATTTGAGCATCGAGTCCGGCGTCGGCAGACGCGAATATCGTCGACCAGCTTGTGGCAAGAACGACATGTTTTGTGTACTAATTCAACTATATTTCGATATACAAAATATATATACATATATATATATATATATATATATACAATATACGTCAAAGGAGCGTACAATTCAATTTTGGTTATGTATGTATGCATGTATTTCGATTATATAAGTACAGAGCCCCCTTCTCTCTATACATGTGTAAAACATGACACAGCCTAACTAATGACATTTGACTACTACGACTAGGGCACATAGACGGGCCTGGGCTGGAACAGCTCATGGCCAGCTGAATAGTTCGATTCATTTGGATGTGTATGAAATGTCCGATTCACATTCGTGGGCTCCACATAACCCAAGGCACGACCCATGGGCGCGATGACAAACCGTGTGTGCGTCTGCGAAGAGCCCTGATAGGAGACCACCGAGGGCGCCGAGTCGATGAGCAGCTGCATCTCCTGCCTGGGTCTGGCCAGTACCAGAGCCAGCAGTCCCAAAAGCAACTGCAAGGGTGGAGTTTGGCATAGGTACATAGCTTTTATTGTGACAACACACAACTCACCAAACGCCGCATTGTCGTAGGCAGAGTACTAGATGAGGTGGGCGGCTTATTTTGTGTTAGATTTTCGTATTGCCAGCCTCAATAAACACGAAAACGTAGCGAGTGGCAAAGTCAAACTGAACGCCAGTGTGAATTGCTGTGCCATGAAATCACAGTAAAGCAATTGTTGGCCTAAACAGTGGCTTAGTGGCCCGAAGCCAAGGGGGCGCAATTGCGGGAGTATAAGTATAAGCGACGCCTCTGGCTGTCGGTTATCTTGCAATTGTGGGAGTGTCTCAACTTGGACGTTTTACGTAAAGAAATAAAAACGAAAATGTATAAATAAATACGAGCGAATGCCGCAAATATTGTAGTAATAACAATAACAACAACTAGCAACAACTAGAAACAACAACAACAATGAATGGTGGTGCGAGTGTCTGCGATGGCAACGCATGCGCAACCCGCTGAAGGTTGGTCGCCCCCTTCGCAGCTTGAAGCTGAAGTCTTTTTGCTTCAAAATACCCTATAAATAGACAGCGCGATATTAAAGGGTAGCTTCAAGCAAAAGAAGCGAGAAAAAGGCTAGACTTCTATTGGGAAAACAAAGTCAGAGTTTCAAAGTTTCCTGAGTGTCATATAAAAGAGCCTGAGTCTATGAGACTCAGTCGCTGTATCAAATCTACAAAAACATAGGCAATAATTTATTTAAAATCAGAATATTGAAATGAAAAATTAAAATTGATTATATACAAAGCCCCTTTTTGACCATATCTCAGGCTTTATATGAGTAAGAGGCATTAAATTTGATATCTGAGCTGCGAAATTCAGATAAAGCTTAGCAATTCTTTACTTTCATTTTAATTATCACTTATGTGCAAGTCGTACTCTCAGTATCGATTAAAAGATATCTTTAATGCTCATAAAATATTTCTAGTATAGCCAGACTGAAGCCTTTTACAGGGTATCTTTCAGTCAGGTGATCAAAATAATCCCATTTACAAATTGTATGTAAGTTACTTAGCTTTTTATTGTTTCTCTATCTCTCTCGCCGGCAGCATACCCCTTCTCTCCCGCTACTATGTGCCCCCCTTAACAATTAGCCGGAGGCGCGTAGTTGAAGCTCTAAGTGCGTTTCGTTTGGATTGAAGCACTTTTTCGATGCTTGATTAATTAATTAACCATATACAAGGGTCGGGCCATAAGACTAGGGTAACGAGCTGCCAACTGCTGACTGCTGACTGCTGACGACCTTAACTGCAGCTCAAGAGTCTGTCAATCCGATTAGCTATAAAAAGGCTTAGGGTACAAGCCGCTTGGGTTTATTTGTTGCCCGGACAGTCACTCGACTATTCAGCATGCGCATCCGCTCAGGGGATCAACAACTGCTACTTCTCCTCCTCACGCTGGCTCTGGAGCCCAGCTGGACAGCCACAATTCTGCACAGCCTGGCCGGGCCGGGCAGCGCCAGTGCCATCTCGCATCAGAGCTTTGTGCGCTTGACGACCAAGCCGCCGTCAGCGCCGCCATCGCAGCTAATCCTGCAGGTTAGCCCGTCCACAATGCGCATTGTCAATGGAAAAGAGCGACGGCTGGAGGTGCAGCAGCTGCAGACAAGTGGCAGCCACACACCTGCACATCTAACATATGCCGCACGGCCGGTGGTACACCAGATGCTGCCCAGGATTAAGCCGGTCCGGAACATAAGCTACGCCTCGTTGTTACGCGCCTCTCGAGCTCTGAGTCAGGCACACACGCACACTCAGTTAAAGTTTGTTTAGCATTTTTTATATCACGCAGTTTAAGTTTTTTTTTAAAAATTAAGTAAACAATTTGAAAACCGTCTCGAAATTCAAGTGAGCTTTCAACTTCCAACGACTCCGATCCGAACGCGAACACAAGAGAACCGTGGGTGGGCAACGGACACGGCGCCAGTTGATGGGTGTGGACCCAACTATGTCCTCGCAGCAAATTCTCAAGCAATTATCCAATCACATCCTCTTTCGGAGCATGCACTACGCCTTCATTGCGCTGCAGCTGCGCGACGAGCTGGCCAAGAGCTCAGCTGGGGAGCGCAGCTGCCTGGAGATGCGACCGTTTGTGCTCTGGCTAACCCATATATTGGTATCCTATTCGGGCGATATACTGGTCAATCTGTTGCTTGGCACATTGCCTCTGGAGCCGCTCAGCAATTACCACGATGTCATGCTGAGCACATTTGCCTGGTATATCATCTTCTACAGTCCGTTTGATGTGGCGCACTCTGTGGCACGCACTACGCCATTTCGCTGCCTCGCGACACCTGTCGCCGCGCTCAGTCAGGTGCTGCACATAGAACGGGGCGTACATCTGGCTAGCAAGGTGTATGGCAAAAATTCGTTAGTGCCTGTCATTATTATTGGCACGGTGATTGGAAGTGGCGCTGAGTTCCTGAAGCCCGTTGCCGCGCTGCTCATCAATCGATGCCAGATGAAACCCGCTGCCTATATAAAGCTGAGCACGTGAGTCTGCCGCATGTTGCAAGCTCCAAAACTGATGACACTATCAAAACCATAAACACAGCAACTCCAAGCTGGCGATCGCCATCTCTTGGCTCTATCTGCTCCAGCTGAATGGCAGCCAGCTGCTGTTTGGACTCAGCCGATGTCAGCTGCAGCTTTACGCGCTGCTCGCGCTCATGTGCTTCAAGTTTCTGGCCCTGTTCTATCGGCTAGATCATCTAATCTGGCTGCTGGAGAATCGCCTGTGCTATGCCTTATTTGGTGGCCTCTATGCGGACTTGACCAAGTTTTTCAAACGACAACCAATACCTAAATGCGGGTCGTTTACAAAATTTGATTGAACCTGCATAGATAGCTATATAGCATATATCTATCTATCTATCCATCTATATATATATATATATATATATATATATATATATGGAGACAGGCATTCGAGTGGACCGAGGCGGGGCATGCCGCCATCCATCCGGCTACTAAGCGGCTTAAGTTACCCACGGTGCGCTTTCAATCGGCAGATGTTTCGCTTCGTTAGCCCAGCCCCAGTCCCAGTGACAGCTCCGATTACATCGGATCCTAAGCGCTAATCGGCTTAGAAACAAGCAGGAATCGGCGGGCGTAGCCGCTGCGCAAAAACGGGTTTAATATATGTGGTACTCCATGTGTGCGTGCTTGTATGTATGTGTGTTTGCGTGAATTTATGTGGATGTGCATGTGCGTTTGCGTGCGTGTGTGCGTGCGTGTGTGTGTGCGTGTGTGTGTGCGTGTGTGTGTATGGGTGTGCGTGCGTAGTTTGGTTGTATCAGTACTGCGGCGAGAATTGTTTCGAAATAAAACAAATCTATGTAAAAAACTTAAGTAAGCCCTGATTTACTCACTTTACAGGGTATAATGAAAATAATATAGTGTTGCAATATAGCAGGTCTCATAGCAGATACATATGTCGTAGCTTCGATTATCAGAAGCAGCAGCTGTACCATTTCTATACCTTAAAAATCCAAGTTTAATTTAGCAAATCTCGTAAGTTATAAAAGCTAGAGTCAGCAAACAGGACATTTAGCTTATAGACTATACAATAGTATTTTTTTAATTTATTTTTGTTTTACTATTAAACCAAACGAGCGCTCAGCGCGGGCTGCATTTGGTATTGGTAGAAAAGGGTTCAGCGCATCGCCTAGTTGGAAGTTCCCGACTAGTCCCTCTTACTTTTTCCGCATTAGAGTGTAATAGAGCGCTTAGTCCAATGGCTCCACTAAAGCAGCTCAGTCTTTGTTGATCAGAACATAATTAACTAAGTTACCTTATGTATACAGTTGCCAAAATATATTTCTATAGCGTCAGCAGAAATTTTATTTCAGCCATCTGAAAATCACATTCGATTTCAACAAAATGCCGGACAACCAACTAGACGACTCGGATGATAAGCCCAAAAAATCCAAGAAAAAGTGGGTTATGTGCTGTCCCAAAGATTTGCCAAAGAAACCGAAGCCTGAACCAAAAATCGAACTACCAAAACCAGTTGTATGCGAGCCCATAGAGAAACCACCGAAGAAGCCAAAAAAAGCTGAGAAGCCCGCATGCGAGCGACCAGCACATTATCGCTCCGGCAGCGAGCAACGCGCCTATCTGGAGAAGGAGGTGGTGCCCATATTGATGGAGGGCATGCTTGCGCTGGCACGCGACCAGCCGCGAGATCCGATCAGCTATCTCGAGAAGTTCTGGCTGGAGGAGCAGCAGAAGTGCGATATACCACTGCCGGAGGATCTGCTTTAGATGAGCAACTCTCGAAGCTCCTTCAATCTGCGTATTCAAATTTCAAAATATGTCAATAAATGTTCCCGATTCAAGTTTGACGTCATCCGCGTTGCATTTATTTTTTTTTCCGCTTCGATTTAGTGAGGCGCAACGGCTATTATAAAAGCTGGGATTAGCTGCGGTTAGAGCATCAGTCATTTAGCTGCCTTCATTGAAATCATGTTCAAGCTGGTAAGTCGAGTGCTTCCTTCAGTCAAGGTCGGCTCTTTCAATTGCTTCTACTGCTTCGCAGCGCCTGAGCCTGTTTGCCTTTGTGCTCATCTTTCTGGCCGCAGCCAGCGCTGGCTCCCTGGAATGGCCTGCCAATCTGGTGGCTTTGAGCACCAGTAAATCCTCGCAGGCATTGCCGCTGCCTGCCAGCGACGAGTCCGCTGAGCTGACCGAGAGCAACGCAGCCGCCGCCGCCGCTGCCGAACCGGAGCTGGATCAGGCTCTATCCGAATCCAACGCAGCTGCTGCCGATGCTCGACTAGTCTCCGCTGTGCCCGTATCCGTGCCGCTGCCGCTAATTGTGGCCGCTCGCTCGGGCCTGCGCAGCGTGCTTACCATCCAAGAGCCAACGCTGGCCAAAGTGGGTGAGCTGGTGGAGCATGTGCCCACCGCCGTGTCCCATCAGAGCCAGACGGTGGTGCATGACCATCAACGTCTAGTCACGCCCATTGTGGGGCCCGCTGTGCGCACCACACAGCTGGTGCGCCAGCAGCAACCGCTGGTTTGGACCCTTGCCGCCGATCCTCGTGTGGTGCTTCTGCGGAACTAGATCCGAGAGGGAACAAAACGCGACGACAACAAGATGAAACCAAAGAGAAAAACACAACGTTGCCAAATTGATTTTACTTCTTCTACTTAGCTAACACATCTTCTATCTGTAGTTGATATACTCTTGTCTGCCTTTGACACTTTGTAGCTGCCATTTTCTAAGCTCTTTTCTGTCTTTACTCTTACATCTATTTACTTTTTGTTTGGAATAAAGAATTCGTATTTGCAATCATTTGAGCGTATTCCTATCGATACCTGGCCGACGCCCCTACAGCAAATCAATAAAATCAACAGACGGCTGGCTCCATTGTTGTCCAACCAGAACATAAATATACAAAAAGGAGCGCTGCAGTCAAGTTTCTCTAGCCGAGAACAACCGACTGAAAAATGCCCTGGACTCAGCTAGAATGTGTTATTAATACCTTTATTCGCATAAGCATACACACTCCAAACTGAAATCTATACGGTTCCTTCTTTCAGAGTTTTGGGTGTGTATAGCGAAAAGTCAGTATATATTTGTTGAAGGTATCCGAGATATTGATGGGACTATCTCGTGCAAGAGTCTGTAGCTGAAGCTGTGATATATGCTCAAAAATAGGGTAATGATATCGATATTTGTCGATAATGCTGTATATTGTATAATATAAAGCTAGAAATATTTGTATATCTTAAACTGTGAAAGATATATATCTATGCAATTTAGCCCCCAACTAATGGGAGTGGCCGAAAATATTAATGCTCCTCTGATCCAACTGATGTGGCTCTACTCGAGCATATAAACTTGAGTTGGGAAAAACTAATGACTTCATAAGTAAAGACGAACGTGGCACAAAATCAATATACTCTATTTCAGCTAGCGTACAAAGTATTTAACCAATAAATAACGCAATCAGCGCTAAAGATCTGAGAAAGACATAGACCAAGCAATGGAGCACACGCCCAAACACTCGTCCTGTCGTCTGGACTCGCCCAGTGTCAATTAGAAGCCAGAGTCCATGCTAGCCAGCTATAAAGACTGCAGTTGCTCCGCAAAGGGCAAACAGTCATAGAAAGGCCAGAGAATTAAGCACGAGAAAATGCAGCTGCATTTGGTAAGTGCACCTAGCCAAAGCTGAGCGGTCAGCTCTTAATTGTGCCCCTATTCAGATTTGCCCATGCTGGTTGTTGGTACTTTTGAGCTTTAACCACGCCCACATTGCTGCCGGCAGCAGCTGTGCGCAGCTTTGTTCTCGACCTACCGCTGAGCCCAGCGGCTGCCTATGTGAGTGTCCATGCAAATGGCCCATGGACTTGGAGTTCTCTCTATACCCAGAGACTCCCGCACTGTTTTGTTTTGTTTTGCATGAGCAGCTTCATGCCTGGGTGACAGCTTTTGCTGCAGGCTAGAGGATTACTGCTTGTTAAAACACTTTGGAAATGCCAATTAAATTTTGCGCTACATTTCACAGTTGATTGAGGTGGCCTGTGACGTCATTAGATCTGCGAAACACCAAGCCCAGGAGCTGATGAACCTTTGCCATCGCACCCAAAATGTCTCGCAAATGTCTCTGGCTGCAACCGGGTCAGCAGCCGACTGAGAGTACCTTCACCCAGCACGTGTGTGTGTGTGTGTTCCCTAATCGAGTGACAATAAGCAATATCTGTAGGCCGACACAGTTGTCAACAATTCGCCAGAAGCAGCAGCAACAGCAACAGAAGCCATGCACGCCAGGTGCTTGCCCCGCCCATAGGTTGGGGGTTCGAAGCGTCTAGAACAGAAAAATGAGAAACGAGCAAAAGGCGCACAAT